GTTGTTTGGCGGGTCCGGGCTGGGGATTCGAACCCGCCACCTCAGGTGTACGTGGCTGGCGCCTTAGCCGGTTGAGCTATAGGCGCCGAGCCTGCTGTGGCTCTTAAGACTGGTTTTACCTGCCATGGTCACCAGTCAGCTTACCAGTTTCTAAGTTTCTTTGGTGCAAATGAGTTTTCTTTCAAAATAATATATAATACTTCTCTTTCTAGTAAAGCTCCCAGCCTTATCTTTATTATTTAAACATACCAAAGACCAACAGGTCTATACATATACCCTGCAAATTACACAGTTCTTCCCAAACAACATTTTAAATTTAGAAATTCCTCTTTACGTTTTACTTGACTTAGACATCCCATAAGTTACCTAGGCTCTGTTCATTTTTTCCCCGCTTTTTTTTCCTTTTTGTTCTTCATATTAAAAGTCTCTATTGATCTGTCTTCAAATTCACTGATCTTTTCTTTTGTTGTTTGCGATCTGCTAAGCGCATCCAGTGTAGTTTTAAAAACAATTTTTAGATTATGAATTTCCATTAGGTTTTTTTTTTTCTTTATTTCTACTATTTTGTATTTGTTCATTCCTTTGGAACATGTTTTTTTTTTTGTTTTGAGCACATAAGGACAGCATATGCGATACTTGCTTTAAAATCCTTGTCTACTAATTCTAACCCCATCATCTTGGAGTTTATCAATTGACTTTTCCCCTTTAGTTCACATTTCCCTATTTTCTCATTTGTCTTATAATTATGGATTGTATTCCAAACTATTTTTTCCATCTAGATAGATATCTAGTATTGGGATTGCAGGATCAAATGGAAGGTCTTTCAGCTCTTTGAGGATTCTCCACATTTCTTTCCAAAAAGACTGTATTAGTTTGCAGTCCCACCAACAGTGTATAAGTATTTCTTTCTCTCCACATCCACACCAGCATTTGCAGCTTTGAGACTTTGTGATATAGGCTATTCTTAACTGGGGTTAGGTGATACCTCATCATGGTTTTGATTTGCATTTCTGTGATGGTGAGAGAAAATGAGCATTTTTTTCATGTGTTTTTTGGCCATTCTTTCATCTTGGGAGAAGGTTCCATTCATGTCTTTTGCCCAGTAATAAGTGGAATTGTTTGCTCTTTCCCTTTTGATTAGTTTTGAGTTCTCTGTAGATTGTGGTTGTTAGCCTTTGTCAGATTTATAACATACAAATATTTTCTCCCATTCTGAAGATTGTCTATTTGCTTTAATTGTCATCTTTAGCTGCACAGAAACTTTTTTAGCTTGATCAGGTTCCATTTATTTTTGTTCTTGCTGCAATTGCCAATCAGGTCATCTTCATGAAATCCTTCCCCAGGCCAGTGTCGTCAGGAGTTTCTCCCATACTTTCTAAAGGTGTAGGTTCTCTTGCAGTCTTTTGGAGAATGGTGATTTTAATTTGATGCACAAAGTGCCCCAAATTGTCCTTTGGTTCTTCATGCCATTAAGATTACTTTCTATAGGAATTTTAGGGCCCCACCTCCACACCCAGGCCTGTCTTCAGGCAAAAAAAAAACAAAAAAACCCCAAAAAACTACCCATCTCTTGTCTTAGTCTGTGCCAGTTCTTTGAGACAGAGTTTTACTCTCTTGCCCTGGGTAGAGAACCATGTCATCATACCTTACAGCAACCTTTAATTCTGGGGTTTCGCTTTTGACCAGATTGGTCTCGAACTCATTAGCTTAAGCTGTCCACCCACTTCAGTTTCCCAGAGGGCTGGGATAACAGGCGTGAACCACTGGGCCTAGCCAGCTCTTTTTTTTTTTTTTTTTAAAGTAATTTTTATATTTTGTCTGGATTTTATAGTTACTTATAGGAGGATTTGGTGTGATAGGAGTTACTCCCTTATTCATTACTAGGAAACATAAAAGACTCATTTAACTTGTTTTTGCCTACAAAGTTTTACACATTGAAGATGGCCTGTAAAACCTTACTGGATTGATGGAAGGATGAAGGAAATTTTTATTTTGTGGTAACTGTTAATGAATCCAGCTTCTCTTTTTTTGAGACATTTTCATGTCGCCCTCGGTAGAGTGCCGTTGCGTCACAGCTCATAGCAACCTCAAACTCTTGGGCTTAAGCGAGTCTCTTGCCTCAGCCTCCCAAGTAGCTGGGACTACAAGTGCCCACCACAACACCCAGCTGTTTTTTGGTATAGTTGTTGTTTGGCAGGCCCAGGCTGGGTTCTAACCCGCCAGCTCCAGTGTATGTGGCTGGTGCCCTAGCTGCAGAGCTACAGGCGCTGAGCCAAATCCAGCTTTTCTAGCAAGTAATTAAGAGGAAAAAGGTAACTTATTTGCCCTCTTGTTTGTCGTCTTTGATATATCATGATATATCAGTTAAGCTCTTTTGCACATTTTCTCTTATGGGTTTTTCCCTATGTATTTTTAAAAGATTTTTTTCTGTGTTGTGGATATAAGTCCTTTGTAGAATATGTGCTTTGCAACTATTTTTTTCCTAGTCTGTGGCTTGGCTTTTCATTTTCTTAATAGTGTCTTTTGTAGAGCGTGTTAACTAATTTTGGTGAAATCTAATTCAATCAGTTTTTCTTACGATGTTTATCTGAAAACTCTTGGCCAAACACAAGATCACATAGCTTTTCTCCTCTATAACTTTTCTGAAGTTTTATACTTTTAGGCTTTACATTTAGGTATATGATCCCATTTTGAGTTAATTTTTATATCAAGGGGTTGGTGCCTTGTAGCTCAGTGGTTAGGGCGCCAGTCACCTACACTAGAGCTGGTAGTTTTGAACCTGGCCTAGGCCAACTACACAACAATGGCAACTACAACAAAAAAACAGCCAGGCATTATGGCATGTTCCTGTAGTCCCAGCTGCTTAGGAGGCTGAGGCAAGAGAATCGCTTAAGCCCAAGAGTTTGAGGTTGTTGTGAGCTGTGACGTCACGGCACTCTACCGAGGGGTGACATAGTAAGACTCTGTCTCAAAAAAAATTTTTTAAGGTATAAAGTGGTGTAAGATATGTGTTGAGTGAGGTTCATTGTTTTCTATAAGGATGTCTCATTGTCCCAGCACCTTTTGATAAAAAGATTGAAGGAGAGTGTGTTTTTTTGATTTTGTTTTTTTTTGGGGGGGGGTGGGGTTAGGTAGGGTATCACTCTTATTGAAGGCTGAAGTTAAGTGGTGTGGCATAGCTCACTGCACCATTGAACACTTGGGTTCAAGTGATCCTCTCCTGCCTCAGCCTCCCTAGTAACTGGGACTTACAAGTATGCACCACCATGCATAGCTATTTTTAAAATTTTTTTTGTAGAGATAGGGTCTCGTTATGTGGCCCAGGCTGGTCTCAAACTCCTGGCTTCAAGTGATCCTCTTGCTTTGGTCTTTCTCATTGTGTCAGGATTACAGGTATGAGCTACTGTACCAGGCCTGTAGAGCTTTTTGATAGTTGATTTTTGTATGCTTTACACTGTAGCCATAGCTTTAGGTGTTTGGTTACTGAAATCATTGTTCAAAGCAAGACCATGTGGCTGCTGCTGTTATCTCATAGGAGAAAATTATTCTGTCCCTTTGTAAGCCACATTGAGGAATTTGAGCTTTATCTTTAAGGGAAGGATTAAAATATGGGAGTTCCATGATCAGAGTACAGTTCAAAAGATGACTGATTATACTTTGGAGATTAGATTGTGGGATAAGGAGACAGGAAGAGGATTGTAGTGCTTTAGGTTAGAGGCATTGGTTGTCTGAATAGACAGCTGGAAAATAGATTAAGGGATTTGGTAGGACTTGGTAAGGGAGTAATGGGTGTAAAAAGGAAATAATACAAAGTTAGAAGTAAGGAAGAAAGATGAGTAAATTTGGAATTTCCTGTGGCATGTGGGAGAATGAAAGGAGATAAGAAATTTTAAAGAGGAGAGAGATTTGTTTTGTGATACAAATGGGGCGGTGCTGAGACATATAGATAGCCCTCAAAGCATTGAGTGTGGCTGAGATTACTAAATATTATACTCTGAATATTATACTACACTCTCAAAGCAGGTTAATTAAATGTTGCTTTCACATAGGACTGGATCACCATTTTATTGGCGTATATTTTGCTACTTAAATATTCACAGCAATTTTGTTTTTTTGATACAGAGTCTCACTATGTTACCCTTGGTAGAGTGCTGTGGTGTCTCAGCTCACAGTAACCTCAAACTCTTGGGCTTAAGCGATTCTCTTGCCTCAGCCTCCTGAGTAGCTGGGACTACAGGAGCTCTCCACAGCGGCCAGCTATTTTTTTGTTGCAATTTGTCATTGTTTAGCTGGCCCAGGCTGGGTTCTAACTCGCCAGCTGGCAAAGTAACCACTGTGCTACAGGCGCCAAGCCTGCAGCAAATTTTTATAATTATTGTATGAGGCCCACAGATAATAAAAGCCTGAGTAATTTTGAAAACTCTTAACTGAATTAGTAATGCAAAATTATTTTATAACAATAGAACTATTTTAGTGCTTAAGCTTGATTCTTTACTTCCATGTGTTCTTTTGCTTAAGCACCCTTGATCTCATGTTTTTCCACAAATTTTAATGTACATTGTAATGTACATTGCCATTGTGTACTTTATTTGGGAAAACCTCTCTTCATAGAGAAATTGGTTTTTGTCCCTTTCATGTCATGCTAAAGTTAGTAATAACAGTAATAAAAGATGGAAATAGTTGATGGAGTCTGTTTAGACATTTCTTTTAACTTTCTTTTCATTATTCAACAGGTTTGATCTGTGGATGAAATGAATCATGATTTTCAAGCTCTTGCATTAGAATCTCGGGGAATGGGAGAGGTAAGTATTGAATACTAAGAATTTCTATCTTTATAAATACCTATTTTGGGACATTGAAACTTTTTTAAGAAATAAATCTTGAAAATTTTGATTACATGCTTCAAACTAAATGGAAGGTTTTTAAATCTCAAATTACACAATTCTGCAGTTTGAGTTTTAGCTTTTTTATTTTAACTTTTAGCAGTAATTTTTAGTGTGGTTATTTGTGTTTAGGTGATTTGACTTGGTTAGGTAATGTCTTGTATTTTGGTAATGAACTATAAATAGCTTTGCTCAGAAGAAAATACTTCTTTTACCCTTGTTCCATTGTTTTATATATGTATGTTGTGTTTGCTTTAGCCTCACTTGATTGTTCACTATTCTCCCTCTAAAAAAAATTTCTTGCTCATTCAAAGCTGTTTGGTTAATAAACTTCTAGTTCTCTCCAAGACTCTACTGAAAAAACATATCTGTTGTCCCTTTGCTATCTTCAGTAGAATAATCACTTTATTGACTTCTGTTCTTTATAGATAAACTTTTATTATGTTGCTGGTTACAGTTTGTTTTGTATTTGTCTCCCCTGTAAATTGCTAGCTTTGAATGCCTAGCATAGTAGGTACTTTACATGTTTGAATGGATTTTATCATTCTTGTTAATTCGTGATTTTCTTTAGGGTACCCAATATTAATCTCACCATTACATATTTTAACACATCAAAAATACTTAGTTTTCCATACAGCTAATGAATATTTAGAGAACTTTATGAAAACTCTTGTGGTCACATCTATATTTTGTCATGTTCTATACTACTAACATAGACTTTGATAATAGAAAATAACAGTGAACCGACCTAAGACATGTAATTAACTGCTTGCTCCTGGAGATTATTTTACTTTGGTAGATTAGAAACCTTCATGAGACTCACTCCATTCAATGCTGTGCTCTTCAGATGCAGAAAAAGAGTCCAGTCACTCCTTTGGGCCACAAGAGGGCACCCTGCAGCTAGCTAACCCTCCCCTTCTTCAGAACAGCGTTTTCCAAAGAGTTTGTCATTTTCAGAGGACTGATTTAAGGGTGAGTTAAGGTGCTTAAGCTTAAGTATTGCCAAAATAAATTTGTTAGTTCAGTGCATAAGGTAAAATTCTGGGCCCTAAGAAATTTGAGAGAGGAAGTAATATTTTTGTTAAGGAAAACTAGCTTCTCTGCAGTGCAGTGGCTGCTTAGGCATTGTTATGCTATGGGGGAATTATTAAAAGGTAGTTGAAAAGGGCTTTTATTCTTTCCCTGCCACTGTCCACTTGTTTTCTTTGGTCTTTAGAAAGCAGAATAACATATTTTAAAAGCAGATTTGTACAGTGTTTTCAGCTTTCTAGTTTGTGAACTTTCTTTTTAAGAGCAAGTTGAAGTCACGCCCTTAACATTAATTCTAGTTAGGCTCCATATACTTCTTAGATGTCTATTGTATATGTTTATAAATTGGCTCTTTTTCCCCCTTACTAACTACTATTTGATACATCCAGAGATATCTTTGCAGTTAAATGTCAGGAGCAGAAACAGTAGTTAAAAGAGTTTAGGTATTTGGGGGTGGAGGAAGGGTATCTGAGGTTTTGATAAAGAGGAGCTAGGTTGAATAATATGAAATAAGTTTTAATCCAGGCTTTCTTAATGGACATGTCAGATACAGAGTAAAAATGCCTAGAAATTTAGACTACCTGGTGGATAGCAGTGGGTCATTGTATTTGACCTTCACCCAGTAAAAATATATTTTTAAATAAGCTGTTTTTCTTAACAGTTTATCAACTAATAATGTTACTTCTAAGAGATAGCTAAGAAACCTACTCAGATTTCTGTGTCTGGGTTCTCTCTCCCACAAGCCTTTCTATCTTTCCTCATCTCACAGGCAGCAGGGAACCTTCTGGGATTTCCTTCTTTGCCTGTCTCTCTCTCACCAGTCTTCTCCTCCTTTCCTGACAGGTGAGGTTTTTTTGATTTTTGTTTTATCCCAGAATTCATTCATTGGAATAAATTTAAAACAGGCTTGAGTTTTTGGGATCTTGAGTTTTCTAAAAATGCTTGTTTTTTCTTTAAAGTTTTTGCTTATTATGTCTTAAGTGTTATAAATCTCTAGTGTACAAAGCATTGCATTTACATATAGGACTAATTTCAAATGTACTGTGTTTTGTAGATTATGATGGCTTTCCTGAGTCATCATTAGATGGGCAGTCTTTTCTGCTTGTTCATCCAGAAATAAGAACAGATTTGTATTAATCTATTCATAAATTCACCCTGACTGGTTTTTCCTAAAAGCTCGTTTTTTGTCAAAAGACCTACTGATGTGCGCTATGTCGTGTGGCTTAAAGAACAAAATGTATCCATAGGAGATAAACTCATCTTCATTGTAGAGTGTTTTAAGCAGAGGCACGTTTCTAATATCTTCTCTAGATTGTTGTGGCCTATGTAACTGGGGTTCCTGTTTATTTTTAAATACCGCAAGATTCTTCCTGAAATTCTTTAGGGGAACCCAGAATTTAAGTTACGGAGTTTTATTTTGAAAGTATTTTCATAGGGTAGAATAATAAACAGTGTTCTGACATAATATTTAAAAGAAAAATTACAGAAAATTTCTAAATTACAATTTCATGTAGTGTAGTGAAGTGGAAAACACACTGGATAGAGGAGTTGGGAGACTTCTTTTTTCTCTCACATCTCTCACTAGAGTTATGACTGACTTTTTAAAAATAGTAATAAGAATAACCTTTTGTATGAATGACATCTGTCTCTCAAGTGCTCTTTGAGCTGAGCTGTTAGGGATAACTGGAATGGAAACCAGCCATTTCATATAGTATTTAAACAACTCATCATAGTTTGTGTTCATAATCCCTATATTAACAAGTCTGTTTTAAACTACCTAATGGGAAGAATATCATTAAAATATCTTAAATTGTTTTATTTTTTATTATACCTATTAGTAGATACTGGAAAATTTTAGAAATATTGATAAATTAAACAGATTGAAAAGTACTCTCTTCTGTGATAGGCAAGTGTAAAGAGAAAGCCTTTAGAATTACATGGGTTCTGATCTTGTTGCTACTATGTATCAGTTGTATATGGAACTTTAGACAGTTTAACTTCTGTCTTTATTTCCTTTTGCAAAATGTGATTACATTAGGCAAGTTTTTGTTTTGTTTTTTATAAATAATGGGTTTTATCATTCCACTATAATACTTAAACTGACTCAAGGGAAAAAAAGACAAATAGCTCTAGACAAAAATCTTTGTAGTGAATAATAAAATGATCTTTTAAAATATTCAACCGGTTAAATGTCAGCCAGTGTGTAAATTCATGTCTTACAGTAAAGGATTCATATTTTGGTAGTGATGGTACTTCATATTGATGTGCCTGGTATGTAGCAGATGCTGGCCAACCAGTATTTACTTTATTCTAGCATCATAATGATTTTTGTGACTGGACCCTTATTATTATTCCTTTACAGATGGGGAATCTGGAGCTCAGAAAGGTTAATTAAAAACTGGCCCAAGACATGTAATAGTGCTGGAACTGCAGTTTGAACTAAGTGTCTTGACTATTTGCAGTACTGCTTCCCATTTGGAAGTGACTATTTGCTGTTGATACTAAGGGATTTTAGGAATAGAGAAGATTTGAGGAAGTGGTATGAGTTGAAAAAATAAAAAAATTGTAATTTTTTTATTAATGAGAAAAGATTAAAACCTGGAAAAGTGCCATTCTTGGGTTCTAGGAAATTTTTATTTTTTGTTTTCTACACAACTTAGATTTTAGCATTTATTCCCTTCTTTTATGACCTTCCATTATAAGTAGAGTGACCTTGCATTCTGATTTATTCAAGACAGTCCAGATGTTTATCTGTTGTCATGGCATAATTACTAATAAAACATTCCATTTCTCAGAAATGTCCAGTTTGGATAAGTTATAAACAATTTAAAATGTCATAATATTGACATTTAATTTTTTCAAAGTCTTTGGATTATGATAATTTGGTTGGTTTGGAGATTTTACATAATTTGTATTAAAAAATCTGTAGTATACCTTGTATAAATGCTGGGGCCAGGACTTTGATTGATTGATTTGTTTTTGATGTGATATGCTAGGGTGCTGATGGATTTCTTTGGAGATGGAGTGGGCAAGCCATAAATACTTTTTGAAGTAAAGGACATTGCATATTCACTCAGTCATATCCAGGTTGGAAAGGTAGAAGAGTAGGTTGACAAGAAACACTGAGTTGCCTGATCTTGGTTTAGAGTTTTTGTGACTTGGGGAACTAATATGAAGTTGTTTTGCATAATATAGTTTACAGATATTAAGATTTCTTTGCCTTGGTTTCTATAATATAGTTCCTTGTTTCTATAGTAAAAAAGTCTCCAGGGGCAAGTCTCTGTTTTTATTGCTGTTTCAATCAGTGCATGTTGAACCTTTTCTTTTTTTCTTTAACTATTCTATCTTGAATTGTTGCCTTCCCGGGTATTTAGTCCATTTTAACCTATTCTTGGTCACCAGCCAGTAGTTTATCTAAAAGTATTTGAGTCAGTGTGTCAACAGTCACAGAAGACAGTTTCTAGAATGTTGGTGAAGGCATTTGGTAGAAGTGTTAAATTTTAACTACTAAATTATTTTTTCTATGCATGTTTGCAAACAAAAGATACTTATAGTGCTTAGCAAAGTAGGCACACTTGCTAAGTGGTTGACAGATTTTTTTTTCCCCCTAGTTTAGGGGGAAAACATTCTCAAGCAGTTGTCTATGAAGGTACTCAAAAGAATAGTATCTCAGAAGAGTTTGGAAATAGTCTCAAAGCATTCTAGCTCAGAAGATTAGTCTGGTTAAGAGACTTCTGTGTCTGTGATTAATCCTTCTGTTGTTGTACCTTTATTTTAGATTCCTTATTTGTTCTTCCTTCGATACTGAGATATTTTTCTTTGTGAAAGTATGGGATAAAAGCATTTTTTTATTTCAGGAATTATTTTCAACTGGTTGAAATGACTCATTTTTAAGGGATTAACTTGCCTTTGACTATGTTTAAACTTTCAGTTATTTAAACGTATAAAATGTGATGCTTGAATGTCAGTATTAGCTTTGTTTTGTCTGAGTATTTGCATGGATTTTTTATGGTGAGATTGTAAAAATTGAAAGAATAGAGGCTGCAGTTTACTTACCAAAATCTGTATTAGAGCAGATTATTGTTTAAAATGGCTACACTTATAAATAGAAATCATTTACAGCCCAGGAAGATCCTAACATAAAAAAAAAAATTTAAAGAATAGTTTCTTTTAAAATTAGGAATATTTTGTTTAGCAAAAGATTTAAATTAGGAGTATGCCCACATTGAATTTTCCCTCCTTCCTTCAAAGCTACTGCTTTTGGGTTTTGGTTTCCCATTTTGGCTGATAGCACTACTGTTTATCTTGTTGTCCAAATTTCTAAAGTTTTATCCTTTTCCTCCACCTTGTCCACCATTTGTATCATATTCTGTTGACTCTCCAAAAGTCTCTGAAACCTATTTTAACTTCCCAGTTTTTTCACCCATTACCCTCTTTCAGTTCTTGCTGTCCTGGCTTTCTTGTTGTATTTCTGCTAACCTGGCCTCCGAGCCCCTCCTATTTATTATTTTTACAGTTTACAACTTGAGTTGTTTTCTAAAACACAAGGGCACTCTTTGGCTTCTCTTCATTCCCCATTGCTTTCAATATTATATCCAACTTCCTTAGTGTGTCTTTAAAAAGGGACCTTATAATCTGACCTGGTTGAACTACCAGTATCAATTTTTAGCCTCCCTACATCTGTTCCTTCATGTTATACCCTGTTCTGTACACTGTACATTTTCTCAGATTTTTTACCTTTGTTCATGCTTTTCTCTGTCTTACATACAGTCTTATTCCTTATACACAAAATCTCATCTCTAATTTAGTAATTTAGGGGTTACTAAAGATGAAGTCACTGTGCCCTTAAAGAGGCAAATACAGGTAATTTAGTGTGACAAGTGTATAATAGAAATATAACTAGGTTTGATTGTGAATACTGAAAGACTGGATGCCTAATTAGGGGCTGAGAGTGATGAATATCTTATGAGTGCTTCTTAAAAATGTTAACAACAATCTATTTCTTTTAAACAAATATATTCCAAGTTTACATCCTCTGGGTGACAGGGGTGGTAGAAAGAAGAGACCTGGATGAATTATTAAAGAATTCTTAGAAATAGCCCAAATGTACATTTTGAGTACTCAGTATATGGTTGTATCAATATATTTTTATGTGCTGTATGTGTCACAAGATAGAATAGAGCACAGCACCTTGAGATTGGTAACTCAGAAGTATTTGTGGGTCTTTTTTCTATGTGTGTTTTCTACTATCCATGGTTTCCTGATTGGGGATTTATAGATTGATAGTATTCAAGAGCTAGTAAGAGTTGTGAAGTTCACTTCCATTGAATAACTGAATTAGAATGAAGAAATATTTTCTATTTTGAAAGCTATAGGATAAGAGGTGGTCTAAGTACAGAACTTGGAAGTGAAGAAAAATGTTAACCATTTGTGTGGATACATTTATGACATATATATTTTTAGTAAGACGTTTAATAAGCCATTTGAATAAATTTGTATATAAAGAGAACATAATGATTGGAAAAAAGTACAAAAGTCAGAAGTGGACTTTGATTAATGTTTAGATCTAGAATGATTAGAGCCACTACGTAAAGATAAATGAGAAATTATTTTACTATTAATGAGACAATTTAGAAATAGGCCACTCTGTATTTTCGTTAGCTACAAAAACAGTCACATATTTGCTATCTCCTGTGTATTAATACTTGGTAGTTAGAATAAAATTTAACTGTGATTTATTTATTTTTTTATTTTTATTTTCCTCCACCCAAATAGCTTTTGCCTACCAAAAAGTTTTGGGAACCTGATGATTCAACAAAAGATGGACAAAAAAGCATATTTCTTGGGGATGATGAATGGAGAGAGACTGCATGGGGAACTTCTCGTAAGTTACTGGTGTATGTGTGAAAATTATGAATATACGCATTTTTTTTTTTTTTGGAGACAGAGTCTCATGTTGCCCATGGTAGAGGGCCCTGGCTTCTCAGCTCACAGCAACCTCAAACTCTTGAGCTTAAGTGATTCTCTTGCCTCAGCCCCCATGTAGCTGGGACTACAGGCGCCTGCTGCCATGCCCGGCTATTTTTTGGTTGTAGTTGTCATTGTTTGGCAGGTTTGGACTGGGTTCAAACCCATCAGCTCCGGTGTGGCTGACGTCCTAGCCACTAAGCTATAGGCACTGAACCTGCAATTTTTTTTTTTTAAACTCTCTTCTCAGAATTTTGGGAGAAAATTTGTGATATCTTTGAATATTTCAGAAATTTTTATAATGCACATTTTCTTAGGGCAGCTAACCCTTGTCTGATAAAACATCTACTTGATTAGTAAACTTAATTTTAGAAGCGTTTGTTGCAATAACATTATAATAAGAATTTTTTCAGTTTTTGTTTTTTAATTTGATTATAAGATTCTGGATTCCGTTTAGAGTATAGATTAACTGTGGGGATTTTCAATTATATTAGATAACAGTGATTGATTTATCTAATTGCAACTTTACATTTGTTGTGCTCAGAAAGGAAATAAACTACCTTGATAATATAGAACTTCCAGAAAGAAAGCTGGTCTTTAAATGTTTTTGATTTCTGTAAGTAGGGAGAGACTTTGGTCTGAGAACCTTTTATGGGAAAATGAACTGGTATATAAGGAGTACAACTTGCAGGAATGACTATGTTTATTGGGAAATTAAAGAACATAGTTATGTTCTTAAAATAGCTTATTTTACCGATATTTTTAAATGATTATGATTCATAAAAATCTTAGAGATATATAAATAAGAATATTAACATATTTTACAATTTTTTTTTTGTTTTGTCTTTTTAGAGTCTCACTTTGTCACGCCCAGTAGAGTGACACCGTGTCATAGCTCACAACAATCTCTAACTCTTGGGCTCAACTGATTCTCTTGTCTCAGCCTCCCAAGTAGTAAGGACTACCAGGCCCTCACCACAATGCCTGGCTATTTTTAGAGATGGGGTCTTGCTATAGCTCAGGCTGGTCTTGAATTCATGAGCTCAGATGGTCCACCCTCCTCCACCTCCCAAAGTGGTGGGATTACAGGCGTGAGCCACTGCACCCAGCCTTAATTTTCTCTCTCTCTCTCTCCTCCTCCCTTTTTTTTTTTTTTTGAAAAAAAGTCTTACTTTGTCACCCTCAGTAGAGTGTGCTATGGCATCACAGCTCACAGCAACCTCCAGCTCTTGGGCTTAGGTGATTCTCTTGCCTCAGCTTCCCGAGTAGCTGGGACTATAGGTGCCTGCCACAATGCCTGGCTATTTTGTTGTTGTTGCAATTTGGCCAGGGTCAGGTTCAAACCCACCACCCTCGGTATAGGGCTGGCACCCTAGTTACTGAGCCACAGGCGCTGCCCAATTCTCTCTTTTTGTTATCAGGTTTTTTTTTTTGTTTTTGAGACGGAGCCTCAAGCTATCCCCCTGGGTAGAGGGCCATGGCATCACGCTCACAGCAACCTCCAACTCCTGGGCTCAAGCGAGTCTCCTGTCTCAGCCTCCCAAGTAGCTGGGACTACAGGCGCCCGCCACAACGCCTGGCCATTTTTTGGTTGCAACCATCATTGTTGTTTGGTGGGCCCGGGCTGGGGATTCGAACCCGCCACCTTAGGTGTATGTGGCTGGCGCCTTAGCCACTTGAGCCACAGGCGCCGAGCCTGTTACCAGTTTTAATGCATCTTGCTTAAGCTATCCCCACTGACTAACGTAATGTGAAAACAAATTTCTGGATGATAATTACCAAATTAGCATTAAGTTTTGAGTATAAGTTACCAGATGTTTCATTCTTCTCCAAATTATTAAAAAAACATTAAAAATTCTAAGTTTGAGTTGATTTTTAAAATTTATTATTAAACTAAAATAACTGCCAAAAAACTAAAATTGAAAAGATTAGAAAGTCACAAAAAATATTATTGCTTCCTTTTTTTTTTTAATAATCAAGATAGGTTGAAAACTTTAGTAATTTAGATTAGACTAAAATTTTTCTTAAAGTGTTGGAAATATTCTTTGAGTTCACCTAGTAGGTATTACGCCATCTTGGAGAATACAACCATGAATGTTATCCTTGTTCTCAAGGAATTGTTTTTTTCTGGATTAGAATTAACCAATATTAGACTTCTAATTTAAAATAGTAATTTAGAGTGGGATATAGTATAGCCCTGAAATGATATTTTTTTTGCCAAGAGCACAAGTGCTTAATAACTTGATTGATGGATATGTTTTGAAAGTTGAATTATTATTTACCAGAACTGAATGTTTTTTAAGGTATGCAAAAGCAAAGCATCTTGAACACAGAATGGTAATGGGAGATTATTTTTAAGATGGATGGTTGGGGAAAGATCAGATTTATAATTTCAGTTAATTCTTTACACCACTCCCTCTCCTGACTTACAGCTGTACAGATAAAATTTTGAAGGACAAGTATTGGTCTTTTGCTAGAAAACACAAGAAAATTAGAAATAAATGGAATTCCTTTTGTTTACCTAACAAACATGTATTAAATGCCAAGCACATACAAATAGGAATAAAACATTCCTTGTTCTGAAGAAATATCATTCTAAGAAAGACTCTCTTTCCATAACTGCGGGAGACTTAATTATATATCATACCCCTCCGTAGTTGAAACTGCAGTACTTGTGATTGTTTCATTCTTTTCTCCCGGCACTTCTAGGCGTTTTAACATGCTGGTTTATCCCAACTGAAGTGCTTCCCCTTCCCCCATCCCCACTTGCTTACTTTAACTTTTCACCCTTGAAATTTAGCTTAAATATCTTTTCTTTGGTACTAACTCTTTAAGACTGGGATGGATGGATGCCCTCATCTTTCTGTTACTGTAGTATCTCAGATTATTTTTGTTGAAGCAGTTTTATTCTATTTTGATTAAGCTCATAGTCTTTTCGAGGGCAAAGACTTTTTTGTACTTGGACTCCCTGTGCATAGCTCAATGCCTAGCATACAAGAGAGAATAAATCAATATTTGAACTTGTAGATGTATGAGTTAATGATTGAATGAAAGGATATAATGATATGAAAGTGTAGTTTGACCTAACAAAAGTAGCAATCATTTCAAAATTATTATAGTTAATGGTGACTGAATGCCTCTGTAGTTCAGCCTAGTTAGTTTAGAGATAGACAGACCTAAATTCTGTTGTATTACTGGTTTTTCCAAACTCACTCATTTGTGTATATAGCATTAAAACAATATGTTCTAATCTGTCTAGCCCGTAATTGTGAGCTTGAGAAGTGCTTCTGTCAATTTGGAAGGCATTATTTTTTTTTTTTTTGGTGTTTTTTTTCCTTTTTTCTTTTCGAGACAGAGTCTCATGCTGTCACCCTGGGTAGATGGAGTGCTGTGGTATCACAGCTCACAGCAACTTCCAACTCTTGGGCTTAAGGGATTCTCTTGCCTCAGCCTCCCAAGTAGCTGGGACTACAGGCACCGACACAACGCCTGCTATTTTATTTTATTTTTTTTTTTGCAGTCATTGTTTAACAGGCCCAGGCCAAGCTTCAACCTGCCAGCTTCAGTGTACGTGGCTGGCGTCCTACTCACTGAGCTACAGGTGCTGAGCCTGGAAGACATTGTTTTTATTGGCTGGGGCTGGGTTTGAACCCGCCACCTCCAGCATATGGGACTGGGGCCCTACCCTTTTGAGCCACAGGCACCACCCTATTCTTCAGGGTATTATCCCAGAAGGTTCTTGTTATAAATGCACTATGTGAATCACCAAAGGACAGTTAACTTTAATATGATTCTTAGAAGCAACTGAGCCTTCAGGTTAACATTTCTGTCTTCATTGACCTTTTTAGTTTTTTAGTTTGACAGCTCTTTACACAGGTTTTTATCTATTTATTACCAAATAGCTTTTCCTTCTGTGTTGTAATTTAAGAAACGTGTCCAGCCAATGAGTCTCAACAGGAAGAGCTTTCCATAAATTGTTAGTAATAATGTTAAACTAAAACAATGTATTGATTTTTTTTTTACTTTACATACTAGTTTTTATAACTACATTTTGTTTAATAAAATATACATGTTTATAATTATATTCTTTTTTTCCAAACAGACCATTCAATGTCCCAGCCTATTATGGTACAGAGAAGATCTGGACAGGGTTTTCATGGCAACAGTGAAGTAAATGCAATACTGTCTCCGCGATCAGAAAGTGGAGGCCTTGGCGTGAGCATGGTAGAATATGTATTAAGTTCTTCTCCTGCTGATAAATTGGATTCTCGATTTAGGAAGGGAACTTTTGTAAGTATTTTGAACAAAGAAATATTTAATATTTCTTTGATAATTATTTGTTTATATTTTATTTTGAAGTCAGATTATCACTCCTCACTCCTTCCGAGAGCTAAGGGAAATTTTGTAGTTATTCATGTTCTTGTTTTCTTCACTTGGCCACTTCTTGAAATACATAGAATTAAAACTATTGGAAATATTTATGATCTGAACCATGTTAAAAAAAATCAAGCCATATTGATTTCTAAAAATAATTTGCAAAATTAAAATTACTTATTCCTGGTAGTGCTCGATGTGAAAATAACTAAATAAAATTGTGTATGCATTTAATAGAATGTTCATCTGCTAGTTTGTGGTGTTAACTACTTTTCCAGCACCGCTATAGTTAAGGTTGCCTTAGCCCTTCTGTTATAAATCACTAGTTTGTACTCAAATTTTGTCCTTTGATAAGTTAGTTGACTACAAAATGAAAATGAATCAATGCTTTTATTGTTTACATGCACCATAGTGTAGTTTTAGGTCACCTTAAGGTGCCATGTTTTTTGTGTGTTCTATTAGCTATTCAGAATCAAACAGATTCTTTTTCCTCAGGGCACTAGAGATGCTGAAACAGATGGACCTGAGAAAGGAGATCAAAAAGGCAAGGCTTCTCCGTTTGAGGAGGACCAAAACAGAGATCTTAAACAAGGAGATGATGATGATTCTAAAATAAATGGCAGAGGTTTGCCAAATGGAATGGATGCCGATTGCAAAGATTTTAAGTAAGATTTTAATTTTTTAAAGAAGAAAAGCATATCTCTGTAGGGATTATTACTACTAGTTGATGTGACTCATTTAGCCATTTTTCCAATTTAGGTTTATTTCCTTTGTGCCTTGTGTTAATCTAGATGAATAATTTTTTATAAGAAAAATTGGTAATTGAGCCCTTAAAAGAAAATCTTCAAAACCATTTCTAAAATAGTACATTCTGTTGAAAGAGTAAGAGGAGAAGCTGCTATTACCTTCCTGCTAATGTGGTAGTCTAAATTTAAACTTTGCTATCTGCTCAAATTTAATGAATTGGAGGTTTAATCTGTGTTTTTCCCCCCTTGTGGGGTTGCTTTTGAGCATCACTCAGTGGAGTTTTCTTCTTCTATCCTTCCATTTATTCCTTAGCTTCTGTTTAATGTTAATTTTAGAAAGTAGATAAAATTAGCTTAGGTGCAAGACTTTTCTTATGTTAGTTTATACTAACTCCTAATAAATATTGTTCCTGCTTATAGGAAATAGGGAACAGATTAGAAACTTCAAAAAGGTACTTTAAACACAGAATTCTTTCAGCTGTAGTTTTCTAGTTGTCTTTTTATAGCAGTTAAATAAGAATTTTCTTTCAGTTTTTGGTATGTGTCTATGTATTAAGGAGGTGTTTGTTTGTTTGTTTGTTTTGGTACTGTTTGTTATACTTTTTATTTTAAAAGTGAGATGATTTGGACCCTGTCCTTGAACATGAGCTGTTTCTTTGAGGTTTTGTGAACCATGGAATCTTACATAAAAGATTATAGGTACATGGTGGGGGTATACGTTTACCTTTATTGTCTTTAATTATTAAAAGCAAAGTAACAATACTTCTTAAAAACAGTGCCATTTCTATCTGTTCTGAGTGCAAAAAAGCATTCCAGACCAGTAAACCTCTTTGGGACAGTAGATTTTAATGTTCTTAAGTTTGTTTTAGAACCTTCCCCTGATTTTGCTCTTCTGCTACTTCCTAATCTTAAGTTATAGTCAATGACATGCATTTAACATTCAGTTGAGTATAAACCCTTCCAAGTGTACATTTATAATTGAAGTGTTAATACACCATTAACTATAGCAAGAAAATAGCACCACTGATAGGGTAATGATTTTTTTCTACCTTTTGCTATATATGAGTTACTTTCTGTGTAAGGTTGTATTTCTCCCCTTAAGATATTAATAAGACTTTAACAGTACTCTGATTTTATTCCATTAAGTTATAGATGTGTGTTTAAAATTAATTATTTATACTACTTGACAATGTGTAAAAATGTTTTCAACAAAATAGATGTGGCCATATGGTCACTATGCTAGCACATCATTAATATGTACATTAACTGGTATATGATCCACATCTACGTTATGGGAATAGAACTGAAATGTATGAAAGAATTATGGAGTTTTTTTTTAAACTGGCTGATTTTAAGTTTTATTTTTCCTTCCCATATGTCCTGAATGAAAGATGAATCTTTGGGCTCAGGGCCTGTGGCTCCAGCCCGCCAAACAGCAATGACAGCTGCAACCAAAAAATAACTGGGCATTGTGGCGGGTCCTTGTAGTCCCAGCTACTTGGGAGGCTCAGGCAAGAGAATTGCTTAAGCCCAAGAGTTGGAGGTTGCTGTGAGCTGTGACACCACAGCACTTTACCCAGGGTGACAACTTGAGCCTCTGTCTCAAAAAAAGATGAACCTTTGGAATGTTCGTGTGCAAATTAGGTGTGGCTAAAGGGAAAAGGACTTTGAAATCTTCTCATATCATAAGGATATAGGTTGAGTTTTGTTTTTTAAATGTAAGGTAACTAAATATTTATAGAACAATCTCCCCTGTTCCCCATTTGAGACAGTCTTACTGTACTGCCCAGGCTACAGTGTCATTAGCCTAGCTAACATCAACCTTATACTCCTGGGTTCAAGCAGTCCTATCTCTGCCTCCCAAATAGTAGGATTATAGGCACCCACCACAATGCCCAGCTAATTTTTCTATTTTTAGTAGAGGTGTGATCTTACTCTTGCTCAGGCTGGTCTAGAACTCCTAAGCTCAAGGACCCCTCCTGCGTCAGCCTTCCAGAATGCTAGGATTATAGGAATGATCCATTGTATCCGTCAGCCTGGAGAACAGTTATTAAAATCAAGGTTTTGGTTGGGTGGTGCCTGTGGCTCAAAGGAGTGGGGTGCCCACCCCCATATACCAGAGCTGGCGGGTTCAAACCTGGCCATGGCCAAAAATTGCAATTAAAAAAAAAAAGAATTTAAAAAAAATCAAGGATTTGGTTTATAAATTTTTCCAATGTGGAGCACTTGGAGTTGGGGGCAGAATTAGATGTAACTACTGCTAAAAGTCAGGTGAGGCTCGGCGCCTGTGGCTCAAGCTGCTAAGGCGCCAGCCACATACACCTAAGGTGGCGGGTTTAAATTCAGCCCGGGCCTGCCAAACAACAATGACGGCTGCAACCAAAAAATAGCCGGGCGTTGTAGCGGGCGCCTATGGTCCCAGCTACTTGGGAGGCTGAGGCAGTAGAGTCGCTTGAGCCCAGGAGTTGGAGCGTGCTGTGAGCTGTGATGCTACAGCACTCTACCTAGGGGGAAAGCTTGAGGCTCTGTCTTAAAAAAAAAAAAAAAAAAGTCAGGTGAAACAGGTAGTTACCTAAGTATGCATGGTAACTCTGAACAATAAACAAGTTCTTTTAAGGGAAAGGAACTTGTATAAAATATTTATGTGGAATAAAAGAGTACAACTATGGATTGATTGTAAGTCTAGAAGCTAGTTTAAAAAGTTTAGACCATGGCTCGGCGCCTGTGGCTCAAGTGGCTAAGGCGCCAGCCACATACACTGAAGGTGGCGGGTTCGAATCCAGCCCGGACCTGCCAGACAATAATGGCTGCAACCAAAAAATAGCCGGGCGTTGTGGTGGGTGCCTGTGGTCCCAGCTACTTGGGAGGTGGAGGCAGGAGACTTGAGGCTCTGTCTCAAAAAAAAAAAAAAAGAAGTTTAGACCATGATGATAATAATAAAAAGAAAAGCCAATGCTTAAAATTCAGTCCTATGCTAATCAGTTTCTTCTAAAAATTAAAAAGGCCACATAGTATAGAACATTATTTTACATCCGGAATATGCCTTTCACGCTGGGTATATTTACTTTTTGATAAATATGTTATGTATTATCTTTCTGATAGTTTAAACTGAAACAGTTGTGTATGAAGATGGTCTTTGGAGAGCTGTCATAGAGGGATTTCACAGATAGTTTGTTTTTTTTTTTTTTTTTGAGACAGAGCCTCAAGCTGTCCCCCTGGGTAGAGTGCTGTGGCATTACAGCTCACAGCAACCTCCAACTCCTGGGCTCAAGCGAGTCTCCTGCCTCTGCCTCCCAAGTAGCTGGGACCACAGGCGCCCGCCACAACGCCCGGCTATTTTTTGGTTGCAGCCGTCATTGTTGTTTGGCGGGTCCGGGCTGGGGATTCGAACCCGCCACCTTAGGTGTACGTGGCTGGCGCCTTAGCCCGTTGAGCTATAGGTGCCGAGCCTCACAGATAGTTTTTTTGTTCTTATTAGTTGGAACCAGAAGGTCATTTTTTCAGTCTCTTCAGTAAGGATAGTGGAATTAAGCGATTTGCTTGAAATAACATTTAGAAGACAAGAGTCAGGAGTCTGCCTTTTTAGTTCAGTGCCCTTTTTTGTTACGTCCCACCCTTAAGTCATGAAGACCCTGATGTTCTTGTATCACTGAGTTTTTCCTTAAATATTATTAAAGAAGATACTATGGCAAAATTGTGTGTGCTGGTGAGCAGGACAGCAGTATGATGGGTTGAGTTTTGGGTTTGAGCTTTGAATCACTATATACTACTTAATAGCCTGCTTTTCCTACTTATTATTAATTTTGTCTATGGTTTGAGACAGGCTTTAGGTAATATAAGCCTAGGTTATGATAGTGGCCAATTTTTATTCAAATTGAAGAATGCAATCATTGGTAATATTTTTAAAACATTTTCAAGCCATGATAGTTCTTAAGATGAAAGTTATATTAAATAGAAAAAGAATGTGATGAAGTGGCATAGTTACCCAAAATGCCTTATTTACTGTCTGTTTTAATCTCCATTTGTTTTCTTTTTTTCTACTTTCCCATTTTACCTTATGACTCATTACTTTTATATATAATCTTTTCTATTTTGTTTATTGTAGTCGTACTCCTGGAAGTCGTCAAGCCTCTCCAACTGAAGTAGTTGAGCGCCTGGGCCCCAGTACTAATCCCTCAGAAGGATTGGGGCCTCTTCCTAATCCTACAACTAATAAACCACTTGTTGAAGAATTTTCAAATCCTGAAACTCAGAATCTGGATGCCATGGAACAAGTTGGTCTGGATTCCTTACAGTTTGACTATCCTGGTAATCAGGTACCAATGGACTCTTCAGGAGCTACTGTAGGCCTTTTCGACTACAGTTCTCAGCAGCAGGTAAAACATAAATCTTTTCTTTAAGTAGCTCCTGTTAAATATATACTGGTGTAGCTTGAAGTGCTATGAGACATTGGACATGAAAGATACGGGTTCTTGAACACTTAATATTTTATTGATTGAAATGTCCTGGTAGATAAGAATGTGATACAAATAAGTATTTAACTTATTGAAAACTTTCTAGTTAGAAATGAAATGTTTTGACAATAATCTTTGTATTAAATATTTTCCCTAATAGCTCTTTCAGAGGACTAATGCACTAACAGTTCAGCAGTTAACTGCAGCTCAACAGCAGCAATATGCATTAGCAGCAGCTCAGCAACCACATATAGGTGAGTTTTCCTAAAATCCCATTTTGATGAGTCAGACTGTCAAAAAACATCTTGTTAGAAGTGTTCAGAATGTTTGATTTTTTATTTGCTGATTGGTGGTATTTTGTTACTTTTAAAACATTACTGAAACTAAAGAATAAGATTATATATCAAGAGTACTAATCAACTAGGGAAGAATTATTTTCTGGTTATTAATTGCATTGTTGGTTAAAAAATAAAAATCTGTAACTCGATAAACATTGTCAGCGCATGAGAAGGTCAGACATCTAGAAATTACAAATGTAGTTGTGTCCATTACCAAATGAGAATGTTCATTTAAAAAATTGTTTTGAGGCTCAGTGCCTCAAAACAGCTGAGTGCCTATAGCTCAGAGGCTAGGGCGCCAGCCATATACACTAGAGCTGGTGGATTCAAACCCAGTCCAGGCAACTACAACCAAAAAAAAACAGCTGAGCATTGTGGCGGGCACCTATAGTCCCAGCTGTTCAGGAGGCTGAGGCAAGAGGATCGTTTGAGCCTAAGAGTTTGAAGTTGCTGTGAGCTGTGATGTCACGGCCCTCTACCAAAGGCGACATAGTGAGACCCTGTCTCCAAAAAAAAAATTGTTTTGAAACAGGAATCTCAAGAAAATTTCTTCAAAATATTTTCTTCCTTCATTAAATTATTTGGTCTTTGACCTTTAGTCTTTATTGTAACTAAAGGTTACAATTGGGGTTTTTGTTTATTCCCCCCCCATACATCTTTATTAATAGCTCAGTTGTGCTAGTAGCCATTTTGTGATTAGTTTTATTAGATTCTCCCTTAGCCCCAACTCTTTTTTCCTGACTCTTCTGTTAGTAGAATATGGAGTAAAATAAGTTGAATGAAATTTTTTTTTTTTCCCAGTTTTTGGCTGGGGTTGGGTTTGAACCCGCCACCTCCAGCATATGGGGCCAGCACCCTATTCCTTTGAGCCACAGACGCTGCCCTCAAATTTTTAAAAAACTTTTTATTTTGACATCATTATAGATTCACATGAAGTTGCAGAAAGTACAGAGAAGTTAATTCCCCATATTTTTCCCTAATGGTGGCTGCATCTTAAATAATTATGGTACAGTATCAAAAGCAGTGTTTTGATATTGATGTGGTATGCATAGTTTTTTGTTATCACGTGTAGATTTGTGTTAACATTTTTATCCTGAATTCATCTAAATTTATTTCCTGATTAGAAAAGGTGTGAATATTCAACATCATATCTGTTGGGGTTTGGGGGGATATACTAAGTTGATTTTCTTCCCTTAACTTTTTATTATTTTGTATCAATGCAATAAGGTTGCTTAGGTCCCAGATTTTATTTTTGAGCTTAATCAAAGATGTCCACATTTATAGATGACTTCTAACAACAGCATGTACTCTGGCCCTACCTATTTCTTTCCTCTTTTCCCCCCAATTCCTTTATCCCTGTACCTTTTTCACCTGTCATCCATTGTTAGAAATGTATTAATTCCTGTCTATTCATGGGTTACTACTTACAACAGCTTTTATTTCCTGAGACTTTATGGTATGTTTTAGTACTTGGCAGGCTGATAGACCTGTTCTCTTATTTTATTTTTGAGGTTTACTCCCCCCCATTATATAAAGTACAGAGACTTTGCTTTTTTGTATGAACTTTCATGATAAATCAGTTTACTTCCAGAAAATTGGACTGTAGGCTTGGCGCCTGTGGCTCAAGTGGCTAAGGCACCAGCCACGTATACCTAAAGTGGCTGGTTCGAATCCAGCCTGGACCCGCCAAACAACAATGACGGCTGCAACCAAAAAATAGCCAGGCGTTGTGGTGGGCACCTATGGTCCCAGCTACTTGGGAGGCTGAGGCAGGAGACTCGCTTGAGCCCAGGAGTTGGAGGTTGCTGTGAGCTATGGTGCTACGGCACTCTACCCAGGGGGATAGCTTGAGGCTCCATCTCAAAAAAAAAAAAAAAAAAAAGAAAATTGACTATATTTTGTAATTTAATTAACTGAATCTCTGTGACATTAATTAAATACTCTTATCCAATTCATGGTGTGTCTTTGCTTTTGGTCTACTTTTAATGTCAATGTATGAGTTTTCCTCAGTTTGCTTGTTTTTTGATAAGCTTATTTTATGTTTTTATGAAAATGGCTATCTTTCATTATTGCTTTAAATCTATGAAAGCTATCATAGATTTTTTTTTTTTTTTGGGAGACAGGGCCTCAAGCTGTCCCCCTGGGTAGAGTGCTGTGGCATCAGCTCACAGCAACCTCCAACTCCTGGGCTCATGCAAGTCTCCTGCCTCAGCCTCCCAAGTAACAGGCGCCTACCACAATGCCTGACTATTTTTTGGTTGCAGCCACCATTGCTGTTTTGGCAGTCCCAGGCTTGATTCGAACCCACCACCTTAGGTGTATGTGGCTGGCACCTTAGCCACTTGAGCCACAGGTGCTGAGCCGGCTATCATAGATTTTGTAAACTTTTTTTTTTTTTTTAAGATTGTCATGTTCTGATGTGGGGGAAAAAAGGGTTTTTTTTGTTTGTTTTTATTTTTTTTGTTGTCTTTTTAGGCTCAGCATCCTTTGCACAGTGGTTAGGGAACCAGCCACATACATGGGGGCTGATGGGTTGGAACCTGCCCTGAGCCTGGTAAACAATGACAACTACAACAATTACAACAAAAAGCCTGGCATTGCGGCGGGCACCTATAGTCCCAGCTACTCACGAGGCTGAGGCAAGAGAATCGCTTAAGGCCAAGAGTTTGAGGTTCCTGTGAGCTGTGATGCCACCGCAGTCTACTGAGGGAGATATAGGAGACTCTGTCTCAAAAGAAAAAAGAAAACAAGGCTCAGTGCCAAGCCACATACACCAAGGGTGGCAGGTTCGAACCCGACCTGAGCCAGCTAAACAACAATGACAACTGTAACAAAAAATAGCTGGGTGTTGGGGCAGGCCCCTGTAGTCCCAGCTACTTGGGAGGCTGAGGCAAGAGAATCACTTAAGCCCAAGAGTTTGAGGTTGCTGTGAGCTGTGACGCCATGG